TGGTACCTCACGCATATTTCCACATGAAGTACACTGTATAGTCCGAATGTGGCAAGTTGCAATATTTATATCACACTTATTTAGGTCAGATACGAATTGGACAATACTGGCCAACTGGTTCGAAACCCCCCATAAAGGATCAACAGTTATCATAATATCTGTAAACAATAACAGAATAATCATAATATCTGTTAGCAAAATAGAATGACATTATTTTACTTGTTTTCTTCTTGGCTTTTGTACACGACCTGGGGATATTTCCAGCAATATTTACTGAGTAAACTCTTTCGAGAGATAAAGGCACTTTGTACTCACTATTATTAAACTATTATAAAACGTAAAAGCCCAACATTCTATAAAAGCTTTCAATTTGAAACATGAAATTGAAACATGTTGAACGTCTCAAAGTAGTTTTGAAAAAGGCTGTCTGAAAAGACAAAACTCTACCAGAAGAAGTTTTCCAGTAAAATTATGGAAATTCTCACTATAAAATATTAAAATAAACTCCTCATTTATTAAACTTTTGGGTAAACAGACAACATTTTGTTAAATTCGATTTCAAAATATCGAATATGCAGACACACTTATTTTCTAGATATCATTTCTATATTTCTCAATGTAATTTCAGTACATGCCAAAATTCATTAGATATACTCAAAACATCAAAAAAACCGAAAGAAATATTTTTTAATTAATTCTTCTCTACGACTTCCCTCCCTTCTCTTTGTATTACAAAAAAAAAAAAATACAAAAACCAAACACCAAAACACACCGCATAATTACAATGGCGGGGCAGACTAATTTAATAAATTCCGATACGAAATAATTTCGCAATAAAAATATTACCGCGCTATCAGTCGTTAACTGTTAATGTTCATTTTAAGTACATTACCTTAATACGGCCGAATACCGATTTGCGTTCAGAATGTTTCGAACAATAAAAAAAGGCTGAAGGTCCAAGGTTTGTGGTGATACGGCAACCAGCAGCGCCAACTTTAAACAATGTCCTTTGTCCCAACACCCACACTTGGGTTGAGAACATTGTTCGGCAAAACGAGCGAAGGTCCGTGTGGTAGATTTCGACTGAACTACATGTGAGCTACTGACTGACGCCACTTGTGTGTCTTCGCCAAGGATAATAAACTGGCAAAATCCTTTATAAACACAGAAGCACTTGTTCACAAATACGCCCACATACACACACGCACGCACAAACATACAAAAGGAAAGGAAATTTGGCAAACTTTATGTTCGAGAGTTGTTATAACAAAAGAGAGTCGCAGGAGCGACGAGAGCGAATACGAAATGAAAACTTAGAAATACCAAGAAATCCAATCAATATCTTGTGCTTTGTTGCTCTTTGGCTGTTTTACTCTTTCCCTTGGATTTCGGGCTCTAATGTTGTTTCATGTTGTTATACAGATTTTCTTTGTTGTATTTTATTACATTTATTTCACAAATATTTTTATTCTTTTGTTTACTTTTTTACAATTTCTCATGGTTGTGAACTACTTTTTTTGTGAGTGTGTCCTTGATGTCACCGCTTTTTCGTTATTCGTTATTTATGTGTGTCCTTTTCTCGATGTTAACGCGTTTTCCACCAAATACTATGTCAGCACGCAAGGACTCCATTATTCGCTGGCATGAACTTTGTGGGAGCCGAGCCGGGTCATTACCTCCGCCCGTTTGTAATGAACGCGAAAACACTGAATTAACGACTGGTCTTTGTCGTCGTCCACTGGGTGTTGCGCGCCTTGCGTGTTCCAATGAGATTTTTGTGATTCAGCAGAGTTAGTAATGTCATAAAATACGCCAATGCAGGCATAACAACAACAACACCACACACACCCTTTTGACATTTAACGATAACACAACGAATTCAAATCTCCCACCACTTGGGTGCAGGGGGCAGCGATAATGTTTGTCGCCACTGACATGAATGTTAGCAACCTTTTGCCTTCTCACTTTTCAAGAATTCCCTGGAGGGGAAGGAATAGCGTAATCCAGGACAACAAGGATAATGTAATAGGAATTTTAAATTGAATAAAATTGGGGGAATTTGTAAGAGTAAGTATATATTATAGGGAATCCTATATGAAAATAAGACAACGAAGTGTAGCCTACATTTGTAATACAAATAAATGGGAGATAAATCAAATATATTCGATAGTTCTCCAAAAATGTTGTAATATATACTATGCTAAAGGCTAGTTTAAACATCATGTTAGACTCCCCATGTTTTTCCGTGTACAGGGTTGGATAAAGAAACTGCAACTTTTTACCTTTTTTTAATGTTACTGAATGAAAGCAAAAAATGTCGGAAATAGCATCAAATTTTAGAACAAGTTTTGATTTGTTCGAATTGGTAACCATTGGCATGATTTATGGTCTTCAAACGGCCAATGAAAGCGTCCCACGCTGCCCGAATGTTGCTCTGCGGTATTTTGGCCCGGCGAAGCGCTTGCTTGAGGTGATCGACACTTTGGTATTTTTAGTGGCAACCTTGGACACTATAGTCCAACGGATTGGTATCCGGAGATTTTGGTGCCCATTGTGCGCTGCAAATGAAGCGAGGAACCTCATTTTGTAACCATTCTTGGGTGGCGTGTGCTGAGTGCGATGGTCCTGTTGGAATGTTCAAGGTCTGCGGCCAGAATGTTTACGTGCCCAAGGCCTTAATACACCCTCCAGAATATTATCGCGATAATATTCGGCATTTATTCTAATGCCACGGTCTTGAAGTTTGTTGCAGTTTTTTCATCTCACCCTGTATAGTATTGTATATTATAGTATAGTATAGTATAGTATAGTATAGTATAGTATAGTATAGTATAGTATAGTATAGTATAGTATAGTATAGTAGAGTATAGTAAAAGTGTCAACCTTGCCAGAAAGCACAGAAAAGGAAAACAAATAAAAATATAAAAATTATTGGTGATAATCGGATCAGATTTAGATATAGCTCCCATATACCTTGAACCTATTTCGGGCTAATTGTGCACCAACTGGTCAACATAAGTCCAAAAGTCATGAACGAATTCAGTCACATCCACCCGAATTCAGTCTAGAATAAAGTACATCAATATATATAGTCCCCATATATAGGTTTCATCCGATTTGGTATTTCTTAATACGCACCCCACAAGAACGATGTTTGGGATCAGATATCAGATACAGCTCAGAAATACCTCTGCTAAGTTGTATCAAGATCGGTTCAGATTTGGATATAATTCCCATATATATCTTCAACCGATTTCGGGTTAATTATGCACCAAATGGCCAATATCTCTCCAAATGAATTTTGGCACATCCGACCGAGTTCAGACCAGAAGCAAGTACGTCAAATTTGGTGAAAATCGGTTCAGATATAGCTATAGCTCCCTCCTAGCTTGTTTAAGTCCCTCACATTCATAAAATGATATCTCATAAGGCTCGGAAATACCTTTGCCGATTTTTATCTTGGACGGCTAAGATTTGGATATAGCTCCCATATATATCCTTAATCCGATTTCAGATTTATTGTGCAAATGATGGCTAATATCAGCACAAACTGACCGAATTTTGAGTCTTCCGACGGATTTCGGCCTAAAAGCAAGTGCTTCAAATTTAGGTTAAAATCGGTTCAGATATGGCCATAGCTCCCATATATATGTTTCATCCGATTTGGTGTTAAAATCCCCCACATGCTTAGTATGCATTCCATAACATTGATATTTGATAACGGGCATCAGATACTGCTAGAAAATGCCTCTGCCAAATTTTATCAAGATAGGTTCAGATTTTTATATAGCTTCGATAAAATCTTCATCCGATTTTATGGATATTGCTCTCCATATATGTAATTCATATTCAAGCAAATTTGACCATTTGGTGTAGCTCGGTCCGGTATATTTATTGCTGCAATAAATATTTTTTAATATATTCCTCGTCGAAGTCATATCCTGCACTGTAGCACTGTTATTTGGTTCATAGTTGGTACACATAAATTCCCACCATAAACATTCTTGTTACGGGAGCTCTACTTAATAAGCATAGTGGTGTAGGGTATCATATAGTCGGCCCGCCCGACTTTTGACCTTTCCTTACTGGTTTAAAATCGCAATTACGGTCCATGATTTTTTTTTAAATTCGATATTTCTTAGAAATACGTAAGAGTCGATAATATCTAATATAACTCCGGTATTATTTCAAATTTAGTTTCTTTAAATTTCTTAAAAATCTACGTTTTTAGGGGCTGCCAAAACTCAAAACAAAAGATTTACGATAATCGCCCTGTTAGTCCTTTTAAAAACACTTTAAAATCCTCGACTATAGCTCTGATAGTTTTACCTAATTTTTTATGGGTCTCAAACGAAATGACAGACTTGATATACTCTCCATTTAGTCATAGCTGCTGTGTTGGAGAGTGTACGAACTAATGCAAGTCATTCCAAACAAACGAATGGCGGCATGCTTTACATGACAGTGATGATAGTGGAAGACACGTGAGTTCTTCACCTTTGAAAATAAACAGTGGATAACTTTCATGGTTGGAATTTTATGAAAATCATAAAATTATGGCAGCCTAATTTCGTAATCCCGAAAGAATGAAATGAAAGTTTGATGACGCCTTATTTATAACGTGTAATATAAACAGAATTACACATCGACTTATTGATTAAATTACCATAGAAAAAACATGATAAGAATATATTAAGGGTATTGTACTCTATAACGTCGGTGGTGGTTTCCCTTTTGGTTTCTAACATGAATGAAAATGACGTTTGCACTTGGCATGATTTCATAAGAAAGGAATATGATTATGGCATTTGTGCGCAATAAAATATTTTATTGACGTCATAGCATTTTCTTTTGTTTTAGTTTCGAGGTCAAGGGATGATATCCAATTTTCATTGAAAGCATGTACGAGAGTTAAAAATTTATTCTTGTATAATATTGCCACGTATTTTCCCTCCCATTCATTTTTTTTATCTTCAATGCCACTTTTGTTCTCTACTTACATGTATAACAGCGGCATTCTCTTCCGTCTTAACACCATCCATTTCCATGCGATTGCGTGACGCCGCTGCTGCCTTGGCCTGCTGATAGTCAATATCACCGGTCTGCAGACGTTTAGACTCGGCCAAATTACTGGTGGCCTGTTCCGAACTGAAACCATCGGTAATGACTTTTGTTTTCGATTCGGTTTTGGTGCGTTTTTCCTCGAATTTGACGGTATCGACAAGGGTGCCCTTGGAACCGCTCAAACCATTGGTGGACAATTGATTGGAGGCCTTGACCAAATCCATATTTAGATTCATATCATTGTCATCACTGTCGTCGGGAAATGTGATACTGGGTTCGGTATTGCCATCCACAATGTTCTCCAAGGAGGAGCGTATCCTAAGGAAGGAACCAAAAAAATAACAAATTAAATGGGTCTCTCTTTAAATTCATTTTCCGCATTCCCACTTACTTTTTCTTAAGCTTATTTATGGCATCTGCACTATTTAGGGAATTGAGATCGTTAATGGAGGGCGGCTGATGATGACTCAGGGTCCCCGTGGACCCACTCAGGGCGGGTGAGGCATTTCGGCCCAGGGCCAAATCATTGATTTCCGACATGGAATTCTTAAATTCGCTCATATCACGTTTCAATGCTGCTGCTTTCATTTCTGTGGATGTCGATGATGAGGACGAGGACGATGATGAGGTGATGTGATGCAGGCGTGACTTCTTTTCGACGCGTGTGGTTGTACTACTACTGCTGCTACTGTTAACGACCTGCAAAAACAATTTTGGCAGAGGGCAAAGGTGACAATTAGTAAAGGTTGCAGAACAGGTATATTTTGCAATAAGAAAAAACTATGAAAATCTTAAATAGATTAGGATACTTGGATTTGTTGTACCTGCAAAAGTTAATTGCTTATTGTAAGAATTCTACCTGTGTACAATTTTTAAAATTTTAAAATAATTGTTAAGGAAAAAAATATTTTATCTGTTCCGGGACAGAATTATGGAAATGATTGCCAAAAAGAAAAAAATTAAAAATATTATTTTTTATTTCATATTTTCATGGAACAAGAATTATAGCTCCGATAAACATTTAAGGTTATAATACACATAATGTTGGAGTCATATGTAAAACCACTCTTCATATATATGTTACGCATATTTATAACACACTTAAAGGCGCTTCTCACAATTTGTTATCTGAAGGGTGGTTGTTTATATAGTATATATTTTTAGCATAAGTGTAATATAAATATAATATAGGTATATAATTACAGATCTTGTGTTGATGGAAATATGGAGATGTACCAAGATTAAATGGAATCGGATGTTAGTTTCGCGTTTATGAGCTTCATGGATATTCAAAATTTTGACCCTTTGTGGGTTAATGAAAAATATTGTGATGTGTGAAATATGAAGAAAACCGGCTGCTAATTTCGGATTTTATAATCGTTTTAGTTATTCAAAACATTAACCCTTTGTGGGGGAAGTACCAGAAATAATGGTGCGATCTCTACCATCTTTATAATAGATCTTGTGTTAACAGAAATATTGGGATTTGTCAAGTTTGAATGGAATCGGATGTTAATTTCGTGTTTTATGAACTTCATGGATGTTCAATATTTTGATCCATTGTGGGGGAAGTACCAGAAGGAATGGATCGATATATTCCATCTTCACACCAGACCTTGGGTAAATAAAAATATTGTGATGTTTGTAATTTAAGGACAATCAGAATCTTTTCCCACATTTTATAAAACTTATAATTATTCCAAATGTTGACCTTTTGTGGGGAGGTACTTGATGGAGTGGACCGATATTGTCAATTTTCGAACCTGACCTCGTATTGATGCAAATATTAGGATTTGCAAAGTTGGAAAAAAATCGGATTATCCTTTCTCTTTCTAATATATTTTTCACAGAAAAATATATATTTTTGAAAATTTCGAAGTGAACCGATATTGCCCATCTCCGAACTCGATCGAAGTTTAATAATAATATTACGATGTACCAAGTTTGGATCAAATCGGATACTACCTTCGAGAGTTATCGTGCGCACCAGCCAGACAGACAGGCGAACGGACGGACTTAGCTAAATCGACTCAAAATGTCCTGAAACGGATTTGGTCCAAAGAGACTTAGGGCATTAAACCGTTATTTCGATGATGCACATTTTGGCCGCATCAAATGATATATACCCTCTTTAGCCATATGGCTGAGGATATAAAAATGTCAATCGGTTTTGCCGACCAGATGTATACCCTCAGCCAAAGGGCGAATATTGAGGGATAATTAAATTTGTGACCCTTTGTGAGGTAGGTACCAGATCTTATGTTGGCAACCATATTAAGATGTGTGAATTTTGCAAGAAATCGGGTGCTTATTTTGCATTTTATGAAAGTTTTGTTCTTCAAAACTTCGACTCCTTTGTGGGGGGAAGGATTTGGCCGATATGTCCCATCTATGCAGCAGATCTTGTGTTAATAGAAAAATCGGGATGTGTGAAATTTCGCATTTTATGAGCATTTTGGTTGTTCAAATTTTTGATCCTTTGTGGGGAAGTTATCCAAAAGGTATGGACCTAGATATCGTTCCACCTTCACAGCCGATTTTAATTAAAATATTAAGATATTTGCAATTTACTGAGAATCGGAGGCTTATTTCGCATTTTATTCAAAATTTCGAAGTTCGAAGTGTGGGGGAAGTACCAGAATGAGTGGGTCGATATCTTCAATTTTTACAAAAATTCTTGTGTTAGAGAAATATTGGAATGTCTGAAGTTTAGAATCAATCGGAGGCTTAACACGTGTTTAATGAGAATTATAATTATCCAGGGGGAGGTACCAGATCTGTTCTGTTTTTCCTTCATACCAGATCTTGTGTTGTCAGAAATATTGAGATGAACCAAATTTTAATCGTACTCAAATTTCACATTTTTTAAGAGTTTTAATTTTCAAAATTTTGACTATTTGTGAGGTAAGTACTTGATGAAGTGGGCCGATATTGTCCATTATCGTACCTCGCCTAGGACTGATAAAAAGATTAGGATTTGCAAAGCTTGCCAAAATTTGATGATTTTTTCTTTTTCTATAAGTTACATTATTTTCCATGTAAATGTTTATTTATTGTTGATGAGGAGCTAGAAGGAGTGGGCCCATATAGCCCATCTTCGAATTCGATCAAAGTTTGATAGTAATATTACGATGTACCAAGTTTGGACCAAAACGGACACACCCTTCGCGAGTGCACATCAGCCAGACAGGGCGGACGCCTCTAGAGCGGTTCAAAATATTCTGAAGCGAATTTGATTCAAAGAGACCTAGGATCTAAACCCGTAATTTCAATGAGACACATTTTGGCCATATCAAATGATAAATACCCTCTGTTTTTTAAGTTTTACTTTATTCCTTCTCTCTTCAAGCGTATAATTTCTCTGCTCTTTTTTATTGCTCTCTGTTTTACTATGTGTCCATTATTTTGCCGCCTATCAATTCTTTTTTTTCTGATTAATTTTTATCACTTTTTTGTTATTATTGAAACGACCAATAGCACAATGTCTATTTTGTACATACATACACATGTACATATGTACGCATCTACAAATGGTATGTTAAATACCAAGTGATGAATGAAGGGGTTTATTATTAACAAAAAAATAAATAAATAAATAAATAAACAATACAATAAAAATCATTTTAATTTTGTCTGCTCCTCGCCAATTACTTTTTTGTCATTAACTGATTTTAAATGTATATTTTTTCCCACAAATATAGAACGCATTTCTAAATTTAAATACAAAAATGTTTTCAAAACATATTTCTTCAAGGATTTCCCAGTAAAGTTTTTAATGACTAAAATTCGGTTCTGAGAAACGGGAAATGAAACAATTTTTAATTTATTTTGAAATTAAATGCATGCGATGTTGTTTTTTGTTTGTCTTGTTTATTTTTATTATTTTATTTTTTGATTATTTTTTTGCAATATTTTTCGTAATCTTCGTTAATGGCCAAACCGGTGGATTGCTCTCAACTGATTTGTGCTTGTTATAGAGTAATTTTTATTTTTGATCGTTTATGTTTAAAGAATGGTTAAAGTTTAAAGAATGGTTAAATCATTTTAGATGGTCGCACACAAACCCACATTTGAGAGGGTCATAAAATAATTAAGGAAATATAATAATAATAATTTTTTTTTTCTTTTTTAAATTTTGTCGAATATAAAAAATCGATTTTAAAATATTAACCTACAACTATGAAGTATATAAAGAAAAAAAAATATTTTTCATATATAAACACATGTTCTGGTTCCTCGCCAGTTCCTAAGAAACGTATTAACAATTGTTGCCAATCGTTTTTTGTTTGTTGTGGCACACAACAATATTGTATTATTTAATATAAATATGGATTTTTGTTCTTAAGTGCTGCCATTTTAGGGGAAAATTAAAAAAAAAAAAAAAAAAACATCAGCATCTATTTTTAGACATTTTGTGTCAATTTTAGATCATTTCGCTTTATTTTGAAAATCTTTTGTTTGATGTGTGCCAAAAAATCAAACTAAGAAGTATATTCTATAGATAGCAAAGTTCGTACATAGTACATTAATGTACATGAAAGCTAAAACGTGAACACACATATCGTGATACATGATACTTAAGTGTTCCATATGCCATTTTTGACTTTTCGAGATAAAATGAATTTTTGGTAAATGTTCTATATCTAATTTTCGAGATGTCCACACAATGATATTCAAATTGCGGGATTTTTCAGCTATATTAAGAATAAAAAATTAAAAATTCATTTCAATAAATAATATTTTTTTTATTTGCAGCCTGTTTATGTAACAGTATTTTTTCTTTTCGTTTGGAATTTCAAATTAAAAAAATTTTTTTTGAATTTATTGGGGTTGCCACAATCAGCACAACTCCTAATGAAATTAAATAAAAAAAATCACAAAATAATGGTTATGGAAACCGTAACATTTCAAAGCTTTTCGGAAAAGGACGGAAGTTCTTAAAATTATTATAAAAACCCAAATTATAATGAATACGTTTAAATACGAACGTTTCGGGTGAAAGCAATCCTTTTTTACAAAAAAAAAAAAAAAAAAAAAAAAACAGGCTGTTAGTATGTTTACATTAGGCCCTCATCCAATATTCGATTATATAAATATATTTTGACTTCTGTTGGGATTATTCAAATTGTTGACCCTCTATGAAATGGGCCAATATTGTCCATTTCGTATGGGACCTAAATATATATGAAATAATTGACTGCTTCCTTCACTTTTTATAAGATATGTAATAATTTTTAGAAAATGTTAAAATATACGTGAGGTTAGAGACATTATCGACCGAAGTATTCCGTCTTCTAATACAGATAAAAATATTGATTTGGGCAAAATTAGAAGAAAGTCCAACATTTGTTTCCAATTTTATGCGAAACAATATATTGCGATAAATTACATTTCTCTCCCCGTTTGAGAGCAATATTTAGATATATAAAGTTGTAGAGAATCGCTGACTTGTTACGCAAGTTATAACAGATAAAAGTGTTTGGCAGATATATATCATCGTCTTGCGTTAGCAAATATATATGGGGTTGTGTGAAATTTGAAGACAGTTGGATTCTTTTTTCGACTTTTAAGAGCCTTTTTTTCAAAAATTTGGAAACCTATGTGGGGGAGGTACCAGAATAAATGGTCCGATCCCTATCATCTTTACAACAGATCTTGTGTTGATAGAAATTTTGAGATGTATCAAGTCTAAATGGAAT